CAGCCTGGGCAACATGGTGGGACCCTGCCTTTACAAAAATAAAATGAAAATAGCCAAGTGTGGTGGTGGGTACCTACATTTCCAGCTACTAGGGGCTGAGATGGCAGGATCACTTGAGCCCAAGAGCCTCTTGATAGGTAGCAGTGAGCTATGATAGTGCCAAAAGAAAAAAAAAAAGATGGTAATTTTGTACAGAACTAAATACTCATCTCTCTTTGACCATTTGGCCTATTTCACAAGTATCTTTTGAAAATTTCAGTACCAGTGAAGTTTTACAAAGGGGAGCTAGATCCCTGATAAGATTATCTCCTGGATCCCATTCTGTAAAATGTAATCTGCTGAGGGGCTAACTGTAATCTGGGCGTGAGACTGAAAGCAACTGTCAGAAGAGGTGGAAATGAGCTGATTCATCCGAATGAAAAATTCCAGCAGTTGCTGGGAGTGTGGTCAAAGAGGCCCATTTCTGAGCAGAGTTCTGTTTGTTTTTGATAAGGGCCCTTCAGGCTTGTTTTATCTTTTTTATCTTACAAGAACAGACTATTGCCTCTTGATAGGGCCAGGAGGTAGAAGCTCTTCTCTGGGGTTTCCAAAATACTGTCACTAAGCACAGTGATAATGAGGGCCCAATCTTTCATCTCATCTCACAGAATACACCAGCCACCGAGACATGGCCTGAAAGCAGTTGGCCCTTTTATTTTTTCATTTTGTCCAGCGTCTCATTGAAAACTGAATTAATCTTTTCCTTCCTGTCACCTCTTAGACATAAGAGAAGAAAAGCTCTCCTTCCTCTTTCATTTCAACACTGGTTAGAAAATTCTCATTTACTTTTCATGAGGGAGAGAGAATAGCCCTGTGGGAACAGGCAGGACGCCATCTTACTTTGGTGTGTGGGCTCTTGTCTTGTTGCTGTCACCTGTCCCTACAAGGTATGTGTGACCACAGGGATGTGACCTCTCTCTGCCAGCCCCGATTCTCTCCAGTAAAACACGGTAGAACCTACCTCATCAGATGCTGTGAGAATTAAATAAGAGAAAGCACAGGAAGTAGAAGATATGGTTATAATCTATCATGTCTTCTGCTTAGTGAAAATCGCAGGAAGAGGTTTGATTCTAGCAGTCAGGTCAGATATGTGATGTGTATATCACCACAAGATCAGTTTACCGTTAATATTAGAGCTTTACATTTTGCACATTTCTTGCCAATACCCCCACTCATATAGCAACCCTAGGAGATGGGATTTATTTTTTGATAAGAAACTGAGGTTGAGAGAGTTGCAGGAAAAGATCCTGGAATTATGGGACCCAAACTATATACACATTTAGAGACCTCCTTTCGAAAAAACAAAAAAAGAATGAATCCCAGAAGAGACCTAAGCAAACACAGCACTCTGGAGCTTAAAAGCTCATTACCATCATGGTAAATCTATAAGGTTACACAGCTGGTTGGGGCAGAGGTAGGTCTGGAACTTGTGTCCTTGGATTTAAATCTTATGTTCCTTCTACTATACATGCTGCTGAGGACAAGGTCCTTACTCTTGAAGGACTATAAGCATTTGTGTACACTGAATAATGGGACGTTGCAATAAGATGTCCTCTTAAGATGTCCCAGTAAAGTGAAACACCTAGAATGACAGTGTTCCATGGGCTCAGGGAAAGGATCAAAGGGCCTGTAGGAGCTGGGGAAGGGTTCATGGAGGAAATTAATATTTAGTAGCTTTCTTAGAATTAGCAGGTTTCATAGGGTCATGTCTTTATGGTAAGTGCCTTCCTGTCAGGGGACACAGCCCTGCTCAAAGACATGAAAGCAGAAATGACCGGCGTTATGCTTGCCGAGCTGTGAGATGAGGAGAGATTAGATAGTCCATGAGGCAGATGAGCCGCTGGGGATGCTTCAGAGACCTGTTGGGAGGTCTTCCCCATCTGCCCAGTTCCTCCTTACAATGGGTTTTGATCATGGGCTCAAGGCTTAGCTTGGAGATTGGCCTGCCAGCTTGGGATGGCTCCTCTTCCCTGCCCTCTCCTCAACTGGCTGCATTTCCAGTGGGAGGCTAAGGACAGCTCTGAACCCATTCACACTGACCCTCCAGAGGAGTTGCATACCCAGAGAGCTCAGTATTCCGCAAAACAAAAGATGCTTTTGCAAGAAACTGGGTAAGACAAGTAATCTGCTCCTCTGGAATTCATAGTCTGTTTTTCCTTCCTTCTTCTTCCTCCTCTTCCTCCTCCTCCTGCTCCTCTTTCTCTCTCTCTCTCTCTCTATCTCCCCCTCTCCCTCTCCCTCTCCCTCTCACTCTCTCTCCCTTCCTCCCTCCTCTTTCTCGCTCCTTCTCATTCTTTCAAATCTCAAGTCTCACTCTCTCAACCAGGCTGGAGTGCAGTGGTGCAATCATAGCTCACCGCAGCCTCAACCTCCTGGGCTTAGACAATCCTCCCACCTCAGCCTCCCTGAGTAGCTGGGACTACCACAGGTGTGCTCTTAGCCCATGCCTGGCTAATATTTTAATTTTTTTTTTTTTTTTTTTTTTTGTAGAGACAAGGTCTCGCTATGTTACCTAGGCTTGTCTTGAACTCCTGGACTCAATGATCCTCCTGCCTTGCCTTCCCAAAGTGCTGGGATTACAGGCATGAGCCACCACGCCTGGCCTGTTCTTTTTGTTACTGGGCAGGGCAGCATGAGGAATAAGCTTTGGGGACTAATGTGAACACTACCCAGAATCCCACAGCCTAATTACTACAGTGATTTTCTTTTTGCCTATTCCCTTCTGGACTCTGCATATATGCAAAGGCTCCACCCTGGTGAACTAGCTTAGAATATGAGCCATGTGGGTGGCAAGAACACCAATGAACATGTCTTATTTTCATAGAGTTATGTCATCTATGTGTCTGTCTTTAAAGTGTTGGCCCATCTCTAGAGGTGAGCTTCCCTTTGCCAGGGAGGGTCTCTGAAGGAGGGAAACCTCCTGGAAGTACTTCCGGGTGCCAACTGTATGCATGCTCTGCCTCTAGGTGGTACACTGGCAGAGCCCCCATATGCATGCCTACTACCCGGCCCTCACCTCTTGGCCATCCCTGCTGGGTGACATGCTGGCCGATGCCATCAACTGCTTGGGATTTACCTGGGTGAGTAGCAAACAGCTGAGGTCTCTGAACAAGGTTCCATGATAAGTATCAACAATGTCTACATTGTTCAAGCTTAAACTTTATACTAATCATCTTATCAAATGCTTTAACCCTAGGGAACCATGAGTTTGGCCCCACTTTGTAGGTCAGAAATTGAGACTTACTTATCTCCCCAAGATCATACCAGCTCATAGAGACACAGATGAGATTTGAACTCAGATCTGGTTATTGCCACAGTTTGTGACCCTAACTAAGCACTTTGAAGTCTGTTGGGTCACCACTTCCCCTGTGCTCTTGTCTTCAAGTAGCTAGAGATGTGCCCTAAGACTTCCTTTAATAACTCCTTAGGTACCATTCAGCTTTATATTGGTCAAAAGTCTTGTAGGACATCTTTATATATACACATAAGCTATCGATATAGTTGTTTTTTTGTTTGTTTGTTTTTTGAGTAAGAGTCTCACTCTGTTGCCCAGGCTGGAGTACAGTGGGATGTTCACGGCTACCACAGCCTCGACCTGCTGGGCTCAGGCAATCTTTCCCAGTAGCTGGAATTATAGGCACACGTCAGTTTTTTATTTATTGTAGAGACGAGGTCTCATCAAGTGGCTTAGGCTGGTCTTGAACCTCTGGGCTCAGGCAATCCTCTCTCCACCTCCCAAAGTACTGAGATCATAGGCGTGAGCCACTGAGCCTGGCTAGAACATCTTTATATTTTAAGCCTGAACTCTCACAGTGTGGGTGGGTGGGTGGATGGGTGGGGGAGAACATGTGTGGGGAGGATATTACTATCTTTTCTTTTCCAGAAAAGAGTCATTTCTTTCTTAGCCTTAAGACTTCCCCTGGGTTTTTGAATGTTTCTGAATTGGGTGTTTTAGGAACTTGGGGAACCAAACCCATGCCAATCATTTCTAAGACTGTTTCTCTGTAAAGACTTGGAGAATTCCCTTTGTTGAGGGCAGTTTGAATCAAAAGCCCCACATTCTTTTATCTTTGTGATTTAACAGAGGGTGGGATGGGAGTGGGGCTCAGAGTCTGACATTGACCCTGCTCCAGGGAGCGCAGGGCAGAGACAGATGTTTCTGGGGCTGGCACAGGCATGTCAGAGTCCTGGGGCTGTGCAGATGAAGTTCCTTTTCTTCTTTCAGGCTTCCAGCCCTGCATGCACAGAGCTGGAGATGAATGTCATGGACTGGCTGGCGAAAATGCTGGGACTCCCAGAGCACTTCCTGCACCACCACCCCGGCAGCCAGGGGGGAGGCGTTCTGCAGGTGCCTCTCTTGGCAAAGTTCCACCTCGCGTGGGGGCTAAGTAGTGAAAGATAAGCCAAACCCTCACCTGAAATTCTCCTGTTCTCTTTGGAGTTTCCCCCCTGTTACCCAAACTACCATCATCACTGCCACAACTGACACCATCACAACCGACACCATCATCATGACCACAACTGACACCGCCATCACCAAGGCCACCATCATCACGACCACAACTGACACCATCAGCACCAGCACCACCATCATCACTATCACGACTGACACCACGTTCACTGACACCTCAAATTCTTGAATCCTACAGTAATGTACAATTTTCCTGGTTTCATAATCTATAAGATAAAGATAATAATAACAATAATATTTCTCACAAAGAGTGGATGTGAGGAGTGAGTGAATTCTTCTATTCAATAAAAACAGAGATGGAATGAGAATTGAGAAGTTTTCTGGGCCCACTTGCTTGCTAAGTGGTTCCCTCTGTCACTCCAGCCTTGCCACAAGATTAAAATCTGAACTTCACAAGAAAGACAAATTACTCCATGCTGTGGAATTTCTGGATGGTTTGCAAATAATTATGACTTCATATTATATCAGGGAGACTCTGCTAAATGTCTCCTGTCTACATGATCTTGCTTTTCATTTACTTATCTCAATAATAATGCTGTAGGTAAATAGTGTCACCCCCAGTGTTTGAGATCAGAGCACTGAAGCTCAGAGAGATTAAATAATGTGCCCTAGTCACACAGCTGGTAAATGGAAGAATACAGATTCAAATCTAGACCTGTCTAAATCCAAACCAGGCTTCTCTTGTATTTAGCAGCCACGTGAACTTGATTTAGTCTCATAGCCTGTCTGAGTACCACAATCGTCATCTTAGCATGACAATTATCACAACTATCTCAAAGAGGTGTTATGAGAAGCAAGCAGGATGACAGAAAGTACTTTGTAAACTGTGAACTATGATACAGATGATATGATTATGATTATGATTATGATTATGCTGGTTTTCTTGCTATGGAGTAATTTCCAGGCACTGAATATCTGTGGGATCTGGTCCACACCACTCCCCATGACAGTGTCTGTCAGGCTTTTTACCAGAATTCTATCATCTGTGAGTCACTTAAAGATCTCAAGAAGCAAAGACACCAAAGAGTGAGTGAATGAATGATGAGAAACCATAAAGACACCTGTGAAACTGCTAAGGCATTCCCCAGGATTTCCACAATTATGGCCAGAGCAAAATCCTACCTTGTTTGAATAATCTGAACTCCCATCCTGGGAGGCAGTTAAAGGGATGCTCTCCATTTTATAGATGGAAAAGTGTCTCCTAGAAGGGCAATGTTAGCCCAAGGTTGCAAGAACAATTGACAACAACCTGGGGCCCAAGTTACCAGTTTCTCATGTAGGTCAGGATCCTCTATGGAATCAAACTCCATTTTTTTGTTGTTGTTGAATTGGAGTCTCACTCTTGTCACCTAGGCTGGAGTGCAGTGGCACGCTCATGGTCACTGCAGCCTTTACCTGCTGGACTCAGGCGATCCTTCCTCCTCAGCCTTCCAAGTAGCTGGCACTACAGGCTCACGCCACCACATCCAGCTAGTTTTTGTGATTTATTGTAGAGACGAGGTCTCACCAAGTTGCCCAGGCTGGTCTCGAACCTGTGGACTCAGGCAATCCTCTCGCCTCGGCCCCCAAAGTGCTGGGATTACAGCAAACTCCTTTTTTTTTTTTTTTTTTTGAGTTGGAGTCTCACTTTGTCACCCAGACTGGAGTGCAGTGGCCGCTCTCGGCCACTGCAGCCTCGACCTGCTGGGCTCTGGCAATCCTTCCACCTCAGCCTTCTGAGTAGCCAGAATTACAGGCATGCGCTACCGTGCCCAGCTGACTTTTTTTTAATTTATTGTAGAGATGAGGTCTCACCAAGTTGCCCAAGCGGGTCTCGAACCTGCAGGCTCAGGCAATCCACTCACCTCAGCCTCCCAAAGCGCAGGATTACAGGCTGAGCCACTGAGCCTGGCTGCAAACTCCATTTTTATACATTATAAATGAGAGTTCTTTCTTTTAAATAAGTTTTATGTGAGGAGTGAACTAAATATCCATGAGAAAAAGAACACTGTCTCTTTAGTTTCTATAGCCTAATACAGATGTTGGTATTATTAGGTGCAAACTTGCTTTAGAATGCGGAATAAGTGTAGGAGTCTTAGAGGAAGGAGGGCCTCTTGGAAACTGTAAATAGCTATTAAACACACATACACACATGGAACTCAGGGAAATCTGGCAAGAGAACATAGAGAGGCTGCCACTGGTAATCCTTTTCCACTGCAGAGCACGGTCAGTGAATCTACCTTGATTGCCTTGCTGGCAGCAAGGAAGAACAAAATCCTGGAAATGAAAACATCTGAGCCTGATGCCGATGAATCCTCCCTGAATGCCCGACTTGTTGCCTATGCCTCTGACCAGGTGAGTGGCCTGACGCAGGGCTTTCAAGTGGGTGCTTGGCTTCTGGAGTTTTGGTCCTGGGGTAATTTTCTTTTAGATGTGAGCTTGTAGTTCAGGCCTGGGAGGGTGTCTCCAGGAACTGTAGGGGAAGACAAACGTCAAAAGTTTACATTTGATTCCCTTCGTCTTAAGCTTCAGCAGTTTCTGGGGAGTGTTTATTCCATGATGACTCTGCTAATAGTTTCCGTGGCCCTTCTAGGCTCACTCCTCAGTGGAAAAGGCAGGTTTGATTTCCCTTGTGAAGATGAAATTTCTGCCTGTGGATGACAACTTCTCACTCCGAGGGGAAACCCTTCAGAAAGTCATTGAGGAAGACAAGCAACGGGGCTTGGTGCCTGTTTTTGTAAGTCGGAATATGTGCCTAAGCTTAGAGTATAGAACCTGAATGTAAGGAAGAAATGTTGGCGGAATTCAGGTAAGTAACATGCTGCACACAAAAGCAAATAGGTCAAATACAATGTTTTAGAAGTTGCTATTCATAGGTGTGTTATGAAATAAATGTGGGTCATAGCCTGCATTAAGAAAAAATAATACAGAAAATATCAGAATCCATTCATGTAGCCAGACTGTGTGTTGTTTTGTGAAACTTTTTTTCACATATATGAATATATATGTACTAGGCTGCTATATAAAATGTATTTCTTACTGTAGGTCATGATAAAATACAGTGTGAAATACACAATGTTCTAGCAAGTTGGTAGGGTAGATAATGTCTGTGGTAAAATCTTTTTCAGGCCAAATATGCTGCATGCACCTGCCCTATCATGTTAATTTGCCTTTATCTTCCTCTAGGTCTGTGCAACACTAGGGACCACTGGGGTCTGTGCATTTGACTGCCTGTCAGAGCTGGGCCCCATCTGTAAGTACCTACTCTGTCTGGCTAGGAAGAAAAGGAATGCATTTTAAAACATTTCCTAGAGTAAGAACTTGAAACTGCTCAGTAGAATTATTCTCACCCCTCTTTGATCAACACAGAAACATGGGAAGAATGACCAACGATCATGAGGGCCTTTCCCAGGCATCCCAGGACATCGCTTCTCCTGGTGGTCTGACAAGAGTTAGAGCTGCCCTACCTTGCACCCTGTCCTAGAAGGTGACAGTGGGAGAGACTTGGGTTTGCTCATCCTCTCACTTGTGTGTCAAATTCTACTGAATGCAGGTTATATCCAAAACACAGGTTGAATGAGGCACAGTGAGATATTTTCTATGCTAGCTACAGGGCAAAAAAAAAAGTGTGGGGCAGGGGAAATCATGGGAGAGACAAAGACAGAGATTGTTTAATCCTCAAGCAGGAAACCACCAGGAAAGAGAGACATATTCCTCTAACTTTTGTATTAGATACACTAACATTGCTCTCCAGGCTGGTGGTTTCTGTGCCAGGATGTTCTAGATTGAAGCCGAGATGGTGTCGACCCTCTGCTCAGTGAGAGGGAAAGCCTAGTGTGAGGTTTTGTAGACATTCCCATTAGAAGATAGCAGCATCTTAACTATTTCCTGCACTGACATCCCTTCCTCCCATCTTCACACCCCTCCACATCTCATCGAGCCAAAGTGCATCATTCTTTCCCAGCAATTCTCTTCGCAGCCCACCTCCCAGCGTGGTCAGGCAAGAGACGCCTTCCCCCAATTCATGCCTGTCCTCCAGTCAGGTGACGTTTGCCTCCTCAGGTGCCCACGAGGGGCTGTGGCTCCACGTTGATGCTGCTTACGCAGGCACTGCCTTCCTGTGCCCTGAGTTCCGGGGGTTCCTGAAGGGCATCGAGTATGCTGACTCCTTTACCTTTAATCCTTCCAAGTGGATGATGGTGCACTTTGACTGTACAGGGTTCTGGTGAGTGTGACAGCCCAGCTCCGAGCACACAGGAAAGCCTTGCTTCCTCTGGAGAGACCTCAGCCACTAATGCACATTTGGAAACCCACAGGGTCAGGGACAAGTACAAGCTGCAGCAGACCTTCAGCGTGGACCCCATCTACCTCAGGCATGCCAACTCAGGCATGGCCACCGACTTCATGGTAAGTGGCCAGGTCTGGGCAGCCTGCTGGCCTTGGAAGTGGGAACAGACTGTCTCTGACTTTACAAATCTCCTGTATGTTGGCATTCTTCAGAAGGAGCACATTATGAGCTCATTCCATAATATTGCCAGTGTATACCTTGGTTTCAAATTGTGTACAGGAAACCCAGAAAATGGTTAAAAACTGTAGAAAACGAGACCAACCTTTGAGGTAGTATGCACATTTCCTGAATATCTGTGGCTTTTTTTTTTTTTTTTTTTTTTTTGAGCCAGGGTTTCTCTTGGTCATCTAGGCTGGAGGGCAGTGGCATGATCAGAGCTCACCACAGCCTTGACCTCCTGGGCTGAGTCAATCCTCCTGGTTTAGCCTCCTGAGTAGCTGGGACTACAGGAGCACACTACCATGCCTACATAATTTTTCTATATTTTGTAGAGACGAGGTCTCACTATGTTGCTCAGGCTGGTCTCAAACTCCTGGGCTCAAGCAATCCTCTCGCCTCGGCCTCCTAAAGTACTGGTGGTGTGAGCCACCATGCCCAGCGTGGCATATTTTAATTTCCAGAAATGTTCTCCCTACGATGGGTGGACCAATTCCCCCTGCTCCCATCTCTGATCATCTTTTTTGCTTACTACCCAGCAGCAGAGTAGGGTGAAGAATTTCCCTAGGAAGGGGTGTGGTGGCGAGAGGGAGGAGGCTCATGCTTATATCACTTTTGTCTCTTTGCCCCTGACAGAGGTGCTGTGGGCAGCTCTGTGGTCGTGAGGGGACAGGGTCCCTGTGTGAGGTGCTGCATGCCGCCCGGCATTCCTGGTCTTCCCAACCAGCTGCAC